TAAATTATGGAAGTCATAGCTGGCCTTTGGAGCCAGTTTAATGTCAGTATTCCAAGTGACTATAAATTTTGGAGTGTTACTTGGTCATATAACGTTGCCTAGTAAACTTGGGAAAAGGTAGAAGAAAGGACAAGAACAGCCTATCCATATGAAAATAATAATCATGTAATATTTATTGGCTGGGAGTGAAATGTTTCAAATATTCAGAGTAATAAAATGTTAGGGAAAGCTAGACTTCCTGATATAAAGAAGACTATAAATTTTTTTGGTTCCTCAAGCACAGGTAGAAAAAAAAATCAGTGATATTTTATGATAAGCCAAAAAATAATGAAATAAATTTCTAACTTAAAGTAGTACAGAACCCCCAGAGGGCACAATAGACTTGCCTTTTGGGAGTCTGAAGGAAGCACATGGTAGCCAAGTGCACAATCTGTGTATAATAAAATGAAAGGAAGTTTCAACTATAATTTCAGCAAGCAGTGAGGTATTTCTTCAACATCTAGCTCTGACAATATTTTCCCCAATATACAACAACCATAAAAATATTAAATGTTGCCCTCCCAAGCACAAACCAGGACATTATTTAAAGTTATTCGATCTCTTGGTTTTTCTAATGATTGTATTACATTTTCTTTTAAAGTGCACATTTCAATTTTTTTATAGCTCTTTAATATCAGAAGAGTCTTGAATCTTTAAAAAAAGGGCAGGAACCGTCATACTCTGGATAACCTTCAAATAATAATTGTATATGCATTATTTGGGATCAGCAAGTTTAGGCCAACATTTAAAATCCTGCCTTTATCCTGTTAAAAAGAAAAGTAGGATGGGTTTGCTAAAGCTAAATATGAAGCTTGAGATGGTATTTATATATCTTGGATTGCTAGTAAACTTGAATAACACTAACCTTTGGAGAAATGTGCATCAAGTCGTCTCTACAAGCATTCTCTTCCAGTTAAATATTGGGGCAAGGAATAAGAAAACAATTAGAATACATGAATATAAAAATTCATAGGGACTCAAATACTGACAATGCCAGCAATGGGAAATCTGAGTGAATCTGGTGGACTTCACTTTTCAGACAGGTTTTCACAATCTTTATTACACAATTGCTTCAGTCCCAGATATATGTGAGGTAACTTTTGTTTCAGAGATGGCAGGGTTTTGGTTTAGTTTTTTTGAGAAACATAAACATTATAAAAGAAAAGTTATGGTGGAGAACACAATCTGGTGAAATTGTAGAGCATTGAATAAGGCACATCTGAACATCTTTATGCTATTTACATATCATAAATCTGATACATATTATACTGCATTGTGTATCATGTCTCTTAATTATATTTCTTGATTGACTAACAATTCAAAAAGTTGTAATGAAATTTTTAATCACAAATATAACTAAGGCCAAGCTTTGTACATATGTTTAGCAAACGGTCTTTATGAATGCAGACTGCTCTCTAAGACGGAGTCTACAGCAGCAATAGCTATGGAATGTGTGTGCTTGTGTGTGTGTGTGCTGCAACCTGTAGATTTATGTGTTGCTTAGCTATAAAATGGTCAAGAAGTAGGGAGGAGCAGAATCCCTACATCTGCAACATCACTTCCTTTTGGCATAAGACAGGTCAAATTTGGACACAATCCAAAGTGTCATGTCCTCATGCCCCAGGCTTGGAGAAACATCATCACTCTAAGGATGTGAGAGTTTGGCAAACTACCTACCAGTCATCCCACAAAGTCTCCCTTAAATAGTTTTTGATTTCTGATGACTACTATGCATATCCATGTAGGTTTTTTTTTTTTTAAACAAATACTGTATGCCATTGCCTTCTCCCCAAATGGTTTTGTTTCTGCTTCCCAGTCCAGCCTCCTGGGATTTCATAGTGGTCTTCCATCCAGGTTCTCAGAGCCACCTGTGGGATTCAGTGTTTCCATCCAAATGATGCATTGTGCTATTGCAATGCATATCCTTTCGTGCAATGCCACAACATGTGTTCACAAGAGGCAAAGCTTGGGTTGTGACAATGCCTTCCTTGATGTCCCTTCCACACAGCTCTGTAAGTGCTCACTAGGACAAGCCTATTTAGCTTTTTCAGGATCAGTGAAGATTGACCAGGTGTTGCCTCCTATACTTTAATAAGCTGATCTTCAACTTTGGAAAATGATCTTACACAAATTTAAGGAGTTTCATGAAGCATCCAGTTATCTTTTAGCCATCAGCCCATGTTCTACATCCCTTTCACCCATTTTTTCCCTTAATGGAGACAATCCACTTATTCATCCACTTATGCACTGTACCAAAGGGACTCCATTTATACTGAAATGAATGCATTTTCCGAATACTTGCTGCTTCTGTAGTTGGGAGAAATTAAGGTATGTAGGAAAAAATATATAAAAACAATTGAATTCTCATCATTAAACAGAAGGTGTTTTTTAAAAAAAATCTCAACTCATTCTTTTCTAATCTACTGTTGCCTTCTATCAAAAGTAGGCCAGTATATATTTTTTCAAAATATTGGGAGAGTACTGTGCACATTTAGATGATGATTTGGAAGAAGTGTTCTGGATAAGGCACAACTCTGCTATTAGTTAAAATATCCCTCCAAACTTTAGACTTCCACGCAACCCTGAAAAGAATTGCAGCTGCTTTCAGATACCTATTTACTTTAATAACTGGATTTAGTAAAGGAGTGGTATTGTTTTTTCCAGGCTCATGCAGAACCCTGAAAACAGTTCAGGTACTTTAATGAACAGTGAAGAGGTTCTGAAAGTATGTCACAAGGGATTTTCACCCTTGCTATGTTGCTTTCTCTTGTATCAGAGAGGAAAAGCACTTGAAACATTTGGATTCAAGAAACCATCTTATAATTAGGAAGAATGATTGTACAATTGAGTAAATGATCATCCATGCTCACATTTATTCACTATAAGGTTTTTAAAGAAGTACATAATTTCTAGCAGTTGCTTTTCCTCTGTAAGTCTGCCTAGTAACAAATACGAATAAGTATACTGCAGAAATGATGCTTTCTCTACTAGTTAATTTCACTCTGAGTCCTTGAAATATGAACATTTAAATGCATACAATCTTCTGCCTTTTAAAGAGCTGTTTGTATTGCCACCACATTAATGACTAATGAAAGTTCAGATATCTAATTCCTGTCCTTCTGTGATATATGGGATTTTTAAAAGTGTCATTATTTTAAGGGACAATAAAAAGTTATTACAGGTATCTAGCCTTTTTCTGGTTTTAAAGGCCATCTGGCCTTACTTAAGCCACAAAATATACATTCTATTTCTCCAGGGATGGTTTAGTTGCACAATGTTGGCCTGTCGCCCTCTGGAAGAGTCATCGATGAAATGCATGCCACCACGTTTCCCTAGTTATGGTGCTGTTCTGTACAGTTGCAGTCTTAAAAGCCCAGTCTGATTCTTAGCCTCAAAAAAATGAAGAAGATTCACTTGGCCAATAAAGTGTAACGGAATAGCCTTCAACATTGAAGTTATACCTATGACAAATGTCACTATCTATTTATCCTCAAATTATCTGTGGAAGTGTTTATGTACTACGAAACATTCTGCATGAGCTAGACAGGAAGCTATAAAATATTTTATGAGAATGGCACATGGCTGACGGCAGAGTTTTAATGCAAACGTGGTCCCTTCTAAATCTGAAGCCTGCCAGAAAAGAATTCTTTCCACAGCAATCCTGCTTTGACCAAAGGCCCCCAAATCTAGAGAGACTCCTTCCACTGGCCAGTCTCCTGAGAGCATGAAGGAACATCAAGTTTGGCTGCTGCATATGGGAGAGAAAACTAGTTCTTTTCTGGCACAAGGAGGGAAGTAATAAATTATACGCAGACAATTAAAGGGGCATTTGGTTCAAAAATTAAGAATTTTCTACTCAAATCCTTAAAGTTGAAAGGCAGACTCTGTAACACAAGGGGTAAGTTTTGAGTAAATAGGATTCCATTGATTCAGATAAGCTTGTTTTCCATGCAGCTTTCCCTCCTAATCTAGATGTAATGAATGAAATCTTGAGTCTCCACTATATGTCTTGTGATATATATACTTACGTAAGGAATTGTTCTTACCCCATGCCCACTTGTGTTACTGATATATAGTTGGGTAGGGAATTGTCCTTTTAAGGATTCATCTGTTCAGATCACTGAACTGTCCTCTATCTGCCAGTTTCTGGGGAACACCACCACCACCACCTCCTGCTTGATGTTTGGGGGCAGGTGAAGCTATTCTTGAAGATCATCTGCTTCTGGTGCCACCACCTTCTGAGGCACAGCCTGTAGCAAATTAAGAGAGGTCTCCCAGCCTTATAGAACCCTGTATGGGGAATTCCCAGCTTTCTCTCTGTGCTCAGTTCAGCGCTGGAGACATTTCTCTTTAAATATGAGACTCTGGTATTTAGTTTGGCCTCTACATTTTTGTCCTGAAGTTGCTTTTAATTTGGTAATTGTGTTTTAATGGTGGACTGTATTTATATCTGTTTGTATATTTTGGATCCTTCTTTCAGCATGTCCTTTTTGGAGGGGAAAATCAAAATCTAAATGTTTATGTAAACATAAATAATATAAGAATATTCAAACTTAAGGAGGAACAGAAAGAATATGAGGTAAGAATAAAGGGAACGTGAAAATATAGGAACTATACTATATTCAGTCATTCTGGGAATAAATACAGGCTGATCCAAGAAAATGAGACAAAATGTAGCTTGTTTTCCTTACAATTTTTTCGTCTTGGCTTATAATTCTTGCTTCTTGGAGAAGAGAAAGGTTATTATATGGGTTTATTGAACAAACTAGATTTTATAAATAATTGCCTGTCAGACTGTTCAAGACAGACAAATATACAGCAGACCAACAAAAACATGATCTGTCATATTTCTAAGAGAAATATATGTTGATTTTTCATTCTCTGGGGTTGTAAGTGTACCAAGTAAGAAATAAATGCCAGTGCTTTTTCTGCTTATGCATTTTTTAAAACAAAGATACATCTAGAGAAAGAATTTTTATTCCAGTATTCTTGGCCTAAAATGTTTTCTTTTTGCATATATGCCTGCAGATCGAAACCAAATACAATAAATGCTGGTGTCCTTTAAAAAGTCTGGATGTTTACAGCAAGCATATAATTTTCCATCATTATGGATGCCAAGAAAAATAAGAAATCATGATAAAAAGAAAGGTTTAATCATACATTTCAGCAAGCACAGACAGAACATCAGCAATGGGTTTTCTTCTTTACTGTATACACTATTTTTAGTTCTTTAACATCAGATCAATTCCAGAAAAATGACATGCAAAAATGTTTTTAAAGTATAATTATGCCACTATGGAAAGGATAATACTGAATATATCAATTGCAATAATTCAGTAAAGGAACCACATCTTAAAATTGCCCACTAAAGAGATTGATCCATATAAGAATTGTGCTGGTTATGGTGAATGTCCAGTATTTGGAAGCTTTAAGTCCTTGGCGCTTACGATTTACTCTACAGCAGCAGCATTTGGCAATGAGTCAGTCCTGCAGGGTTTAATGAAAACATTACATGAGTTCCCATTCAGAAATGATGGTCACCTTCAGACCTCATCATAGAGTTGTGAATGCTTTCCTATAGTTTTAATAAAAAGTGAAAACAACCCATATAGATTTGTATAGATCTTGGACAACAACTGAACACTGCAATTAGTTTACAACTGAAAGGAATCCTATTGCACACTTCCTGAATTGAGTACTATAAACATTGAAGAAAAGACAAAGCATTAGGTGGTTCAAGAAAAGGAAAGAATGGGGTGCTGTAGTGTGGCCTCCTTCAAAAACGTTCAGAGAAATGGCTTGACAAAGCACTTGAAAGCATAGAAGAGACATACTGCATAAGCCAATAATCTTTATGCAGTAACTAATAAGACATTCTTGTTTCCACAATATTATTCCAAAGGAAAAAAATAGGATTAGAATTTAATATCTATTATGTTTATCTTAACGGAAAAAAGCTAGTCATATGATCATTGTGAGAAAGACATTTGCATTGGGGGAAATACAGATAGATATTTGTTTTTGTTTTTGTTTGTATTTGTTCTGTGTTAATAGGTTTTCAATTAAAATCCCAAAGTACAAAGAATTATCCCTGCCTTCAGCTTTTTGCATGATTCACTAAATGACTGGGTTTTCTGACTGAAAGTGCCTCATCCAGTTCGTGAACTGCACAGAAGCAGGTTTTCCACAGGAGGCAATTCTGCTCTGTCTCTGCAGAGTGACTGAATCGAAATGATGCAGGTGCACCTGATGCAGAGAGGGGCCAGAAATGCTCACCTTTGCGTAGCCTCACTTGCTGGGGGCAACTGCTTGGGGCTCACAGGAGGCTTTATTTACTCCCCATGATACTGTGGAAGTACTTTTATAACATACAGTTTGGAAATTGCTACTTTACAAAAATACAGTAACCCTAACCCTAACCAATATTGGCATATCATATTGTAGTTGAAATCTAATGTTATATGATTGCAGTTAAATTGATTGTTAAAATAACATTATTTTCTGCTTCGCAGTTCCTGGCCAGTGGATCAGTTTTCAAATTACGCAAAATAACAACTGGCTTTTTAAGTTTAGATTTTTAAAAATCAACATTTCCCTAATTATGTTCCTGATAAGGAAAAACAAACAAGATAATCAGCAGTTTAATGTAAATATATCACAGCTTCTTTTCACTTTCTTTATAAAGGTGATGAGTTAAAATGAACAAAAAGGACACTGAAGCTTGTTTTTGAGGGCTGATTCTGTAAGAATTTGGGAGTGGGGGGTAGGGTGAGTTTCAGAACTGTGCAGTTTACCTACGTAACGTACCGAACATCCTGCCATTACTTAGCCAGATGTTCCATTTAGAAATCAAGAGTAATGACTGAGGGGGTAGGAAAAAAGAGACAGAAGCAGCCAGTTGATAGTCACAACAAACCAGCCCACTCACAAGTACACTTGCAAATGCCAAATGGGATGGGGGAAAAAAATCACCTTAATATAACACTGTCTTTCCTGTTGCTGTAGGCATATCCATATTAGCAAGCTAGAAAAGTCATCCCATTTCTGCGGTAGGCGCTCTGTCAAAAGAAGAAAATCTGCAATGAATTATCACATCAACTTAAACAAGGAAAAAAGGCAGAGAGCAAAGCAAGGCTTTCTTCCTGTTTGTAGACTATTCTGGCTGCAATCTAATAGCAAACTTAATCTTAACATTTCTGGTGGGGAAGCATTAAGCAACCACTTTTTCTATTAAAAGCTCAGTGTGGTTAGGAGCGGTTAGTGATTCTATTTCAGGACATGTGCAAAATTATGACATCCTATTTTGTTAATTACCTAATACATAAACAATTGGTGGTCAAAACTACTATTATTTCAAAATTCTCATCTTTTATAAATCTATCCCAAATCTCATCACCAGGTAGAAAATTCACTTCTGCCTTACCTATAATAAATAAATGACTGCAATATTTTAAATTTCTCTCGTGAGGAGTTTTACAGTCTAGGTTCATGACAGTGTACATCCAATCAACCTTTACTTCACCTTCCATTAAGTCAGTTTTCTGACACTGCAGTATCACATGGGTTTGAAAAAGAGGCTCAAACAACTGAAGGCTGTGCGATAATATGAGAGAACAGTAAAAGACCATTACCTAAAATAACATTTTATTTTAGGTGGCTTAAGACGCTTGGCTTTCCTTTCAGTGGCTTTAAACCTATTTTGAGACATTATGTAAACATCTGTGTGAATTATTCCAGTGATATCAATGTAATGATCATAGCCCATGTGTTTCATGCACAAACTCTCCATTAAGAACCTAGGTCTTTAAATATAATGAATTCTATCAATGCTGCCATCCAGCTCCAACTGAATGTGTTCTGGCAGATTTTGGAAAACTGTAGATTTCTTTTATATTCCTAGTAGGGACATTATCAGAAATCAAGATGATGTTCACATATCTTTTTTCTTTCTCTCCCTTTGACATACACACGAATGCATGCATGCACACACCAACATACTAGGTAAGACTGACAAGAATAATCAAAATTGATACATTTAAAATTTCTCTACTTTGACTTTCCAATTATAAGAGCCTCTAAAGCAGCTTACAATAAATTATTCCAATTTAAACTTACCCCTGGTTAAATGAATCAAGTCAAACACTGAAAAGCCATCTTTTACATTAGAGATGTATATTAATGCTGCCAAATATAAATACATACATACATACATACATACATACATACATACATAAATGTAGTACCATGTCGTAGAATAAGAAATAAAGTTAGCCAGCAACATTTCATTCAATACTGAGAATAGAAACTTCTGCTAACCTCTAAAACCTAATTAAAAACAAAAAACCCAAGTGAATTTGTAGGGGAAAGAATTTCAGAACTGAATAAATCTTCAGTAACTACAAACTGATTTGCCAAAGAGGGACACCCAGGAAAAAGCCTCTATGACAGGCAGATTCAAACTGGAATAGGCAATCCTTAGATGCCTTGGTTTTAGCTATTTCTGGCTTTCTGTGTTAAAACCAGGATTTTCAACTGAAATTTTAAATCAATTTTTAAAGACAGCTCAAGCCTGGATGTTTTCAAAATAAGATTAACCAGAGTAGCTCAACTCTTTCCAAGAATGAGCAAAAGAACTGGTGTATCAACTGAAGTACAGCATTAGATACCATGGATACTGCTACTACATCCATCATTAAAGTCTAAACACATTTTAATCCTTATTGTGAGCTACTTAGAAACTTAGAAAGCAGCAGCATATAAATCTATGCATGAAAAAATGTAACAAATGAACAAATCTAGGCACTGATGTCAAACATGTGCAATTCTCATGCAGTAGTCTTGTCTAATTGAGTCAAACCGGTGCCCTTACCCAGGAATAAATACTGAATATTTTATTTATTGACAATCATTTTTATACCACTCAGTCCAAAGACTGTAGGTAAATAGTGTAACATTACCATTGTTTGGTTCCACAGCATGTTGGCAGAACAACCTAAATTTATTTGGATGGACAAAGATCAGAAATAGAGACTGCCCTAATTTTATTCTCACTCAGTTTACCAAGTACCACTGCCATATTGACTACATCCAGGATATTGATTAGAACATTGTTATCCTCTGCATCCAAAGACACAATAACATCCTCTGCAGCACTTCAATGCTAAAGGCCAAAGAATTAAATTAATTAAATTTAAAAATTAAATATGCCACAAGAAAGAGAAGTGGGGGATCTATTCTACTGTGAAGATACTACAGTTTCCATTATTGCCATTATTTTGCAATTTTATAAGGCCTTCACAGGTTAATCATTTAAAGTTCTCTGGAGTTCCAGATCCTAAAAACCCACTTCTCAACCTTGACCATCCCATTAATTCTTCCTTCACAGACTCTTAATTGCCAGCAAATACACCCAGAAAACTGGGCTCGGAATTCTCAGGTCTTCCAGATATTGCTGAACTACATCTCCCAGCAGGCTCAGACAGTAGGGCTGGGATTTGTAGTCCAGTAAATATCTGGAGAGTCACACATTTCTCATCCCTACTTAGAATCTATAATATTCACAAATATTAAAAAAAAAAAAAAAGAACTTTACAGACTGCAATTCAGACCCACATCCACAGAGGGATTTCCTGAATTTGTTTCTGGAAAACTATTTTCAACACATAAAATGGAAGCTTTTTCAAATTGTGACATGCATTTTTTTTCTATTGCTTTTGGAAGCCAACAAATGAATAAAGCTCCAGAATTCACCTTTTGAGTTTTTAATGTACATTTATCTAGAAGAAATGCCCCACCTTTCTCTCTCTTAAATGTAGGCTTACACTGGATTGTGCTGCAACTTTAATTGATTACACTCTGCAACATAAAGAATATTACTCTGAACTTAAGAAATACTTTCAAATAAAAAGTTAGACAATGTCATAAGAAGTAATAGCTCAGAATGAAATATTCCAACTAAAGCCAAGCATGGACCATATAAACAAAAAGGCCATATGTCCAAAGATGTGGGCAGTGCTTAAGCAACTAGAATCTATGCTTAGAATTTAATGCAAAAAATAGTATTACCCTTCCTGACCCATGACATTCTAACAGATTTATAATACAGCAAGAACATTTAATACTCAAATACAACACTAAAGGTTACTGTGAAACTTATATGGAGATAAATGTGAGAATATAGTTTAAATCAGTGTTTCTCAACCTTAGCAACTTTAAGATGAGTGGACTTCAACTCCCCGAATTCTCTAGCTAGCATGGCTGGCTGGGGAATTCTGGGAGTTGAAGTCCACTCATCTTAAAGTTGCTAAGGTTGAGAACATGGCTGGCTGGGGAATTCTGGGAGTTGAAGTCCACTCATCTTAAAGTTGCTAAGGTTGAGAACATGGCTGGCTGGGGAATTCTGGGAGTTGAAGTCCACTCATCTTAAAGTTGCCAAGGTTGAGAAACACTGGTTTAAATGGTTGAATTTTTCACTAATTTGAGAAACAGTTGTGGCAACTACAGATACTGTAATTAAGTTTTATTTAGGTAATCTAGGAAAAAAATAAAATCTAGTTCCCTTTCTCTCCTGCTCTCTGCCCTCAACATCCAATTGCATATTTCAGTCAAAACAGAAATTGTTGTCTTTAGTCTATACAGATAATCACACACTGAAAGCCAACCAACTTGGAAATGAACAGAGATAACCAAAACAACTTAAAGGAGAGGAGGAGGTAGGAAAGGAAGAAATGGTGCTGATGGCAAATAGCATTTTTCCCTTCTAAGGGCTAGCTCGATCTATTTTGCTGCCTGAATAGAGTAGCAAGTAGCACCAGTAACCAAGGTCTATAATAACAAATGCTAACCTAGTTATTTTGTGATATGAAGCAGAAAATCCCCTATGCATCTCTCCCATCCTCAACAATAAAAACAAAACAACAGCAAAGTAAATAGCTAATAATTGCAATCCTTCCATTCATGTCTGCTGCCAGATATTGCCATAATCACTGCATTCTTCCTAATGACAGGGGTGGCCTTCCTTATTAAAGTTCAATACATGCAGCCTTATGGTGCTATGATAGCTGTAGGTATAGGATTTTTCAGAAATCAGCACTTCGGTGTGGAATGGTTGCCCATCGACATTGAAATGACACAATTACCGATGTAATTTTGCATATTTACATATGTCTGCATGCATATGTGAAAGGCGTAAAACCAACATGGAGTAAAACATAGGAACATTAGGTTCCGCCACAGAACCTCTAGGAGTGGCATGATCTGGTCACAGCTGTACACTGGATAGAGAGATATTATGCCCCATGTGATCAAAATGTTGAAGATGACCTTGAATGGCAAAAGAAATCAGGGAAGCATGCGTAATAATGAGGGATTTCAGTTACTCTTAACTTATTCCAAACATCTCTAGAGAGCATACATGTCTGTCCCTTAGAACAGCTGGCCTTGGAACCAAATAAATGGGAGGCAATACTAACTTTAATCCTAAATGGTAACCATGATCTGGTGTGAGACTGTGTTGTGCGGCTGATAGGAAACACTGAGCATACCTCTATTAAATTTAACACGCATGAAAATGGGAAAGGACCACCAGGGTCCAAAACAGTCCCCTTTAAGTGCAAAAGGGGAAACCTCTGAAGAATGAAGGAACTGCTGAAAAAGGGATGGAAAGCCAAATATCTTTGTAATGCTTTGAATTTCTTTAAAACCACAATAATTGCAGTTCAATTGGCCGGCATTTCATAATGTAAAAGAGTCAACCAAATCCAGGAAGAGGCCAACAAGGCTTTCCTGGAAGAAAAGGTGCAAGATAAAATAAGAAATACAATGTATATGTACAGCAGATAAGGTAAAGAGGAAAAAACAAACTTATTTAAATCTATTTGAAGTAGAAAACCAAACAGAGAAGTAGTTGGGCTATTAGTTGACAAAGGAATGAAAAGGATGCTTAAGGAAGATATGGAGGTTGCTAAGAAACTGAAGTAATTCTTTGGACCTGACTTTACTGTAGACGATAAAGAACAGGTTTCTATACCGTGATGGAATAAAAATAATAATAATAAAA